AGTCGAGTGAGCGGACGAGTCATCGCGCGGAGTGCAGTGATTTCGCGCCAAGCTGGGCAGAATGTGCTCTCAGCCTTCTCGCTAAGCGATGGGCCTACTGTCGGGTACCCCAACCTATAACCCACATTTCTTAATGCCATTCTCGTCGTTTGTCATGAACCTTGATATTCCTTTGGGTTTTTGAACAGAAATGAGGGAAACCGCTCCGCAGCAGCGCGCAGCAGTTATCGGTGAATTACGCCACCAACGACAGCCCCTTGCAGACCGCTTTTTTTGTCACCGTGAGGTCCAGTAGGGTCAAAAAAGCATCAGAAGTGTGTTTTCCTTTTGTACAGGCTAAAGGTGGTATAAATAAAAAATTGAACCTGTTTCGGATTTTCAACGATGTACGGCCGTAGAGCTTCAATAGGGACTATCCATGGTGAAATTGTGGTACCGAATGATTTACCAAGGAATGGACCAAGAGGTACGTATTCCCAAGCTTGAATATCGCGCGCTGAAATACAACAGATTATTCAGTACATTTGAACGCACGGTATAAGTCAAAATTGAGAAGGTTTTCAAAAATACCTAAAGAATAGATCGACAAAAATTAATGTTTGCTCTTACCGCTCCAGTCGTTCATGAGTACCACACCGAAAATGTGCTCTTCGGCATCTTCGATCGGAATCGGCTGACCCAGCTCGGTCGCTGGACCGCCTACGAAGAACGCCATCTCGAGCTCAAAATCCAGCAGCCGCGAAGGACCATAGGTAGGTTCAGCAGCTAAAAGAAGCAATAACTTCTACCCCTGTTTCCGAACAAAGAGGAGTATGGGGGGATGGTGGAGGACAGGATGAGCCAGGTGTTGAGGAAATTTTGGCCAACGGCTCCTTCCCTCCCGCATGAAGAATATGACCCTTACTCCCTTTCTCGACCTCCTTCGCCAACCTCCTTTCCCTGGTCGATGGTGTCAACAGTGTCGTTGATCCTGGTACTATGAGATAATATTGTACAATAAGACACCTTAGCCTCTCCCTCGATATCCTCCGGAACTGGCGTCGAGAAGTGCGGTAGGCGGGAGGGGGGGGAAGGGAAAGAGTGTGTGCCACTGCTGATACAGCAAGTTTGAGTGGCAGCCCGCTTTAATTTTTCAAAGCAAACCCCACAGTCTCCCTAGAGCCCCCCTCCACCGCTAAATAAAGCCCGCTGCTTCCGCCAGAGCAAAGACCCCCCCATCACTCCTCTTGTTCGGAAACAGGGGTAGAAGTTATTGCTTCTTTTAGCTGCTGAACCTACCTATGGTCCTTCGCGGCTGCTGGATTTTGAGCTCGAGATGGCGTTCTTCGTAGGCGGTCCAGCGACCGAGCTGGGTCAGCCGATTCCGATCG